TATAGGCCTATCTCCCTCACAAGCATGTTGGCTGAGCTTTTGGAAAGAATGGTTAACATGAGGCTGACCTTGTTCCTTGAGACCAACAATATTCCTTGGAGTGAACAAGAAGGTTTTAGGCCTCAAAGAACAACTAACCAACAAGTAGCCGCTTTCTCCCAACATATCAAAGATGCCCTTGATGCAAGAAATACTCTTATTCTAATTGGAGTATTCTAATTCTAAAATTGGCGAAGATTGGTATTAAGCATAACATGCTAAACTGGATAAAAAATTGGTATTAAACATAACATGCTAAACTGGATAAAAGCATTCATTGTACAAAGATCATGTAAAGTCAGATATCTTAATGCTCTATCAAAATGCGATAATGTAAAGTCAGTTATGGAAATGCTCCATCAAAATTCAATCTTTTACAAATAGGCCTTCCACAGGGAGCTGTCACAGCCTTACAAACAGGCCTTCCACAGGGAGCTGTCACAAGCTGCATACAGGCCTTCCACAGGGAGCTGTCACAAGCTGCACTCTTTTTTCCACAGGGAGCTGTCACAACCTGCACTCTTTTCAATGTTGACAGGGAGCTGTCACAAGCTGCACTCTTTTCAATGTCTTCATCGATCTCATCATTGACATAGCCGAATTGGTACAGACAGTCACGGGCGTGGAGTGCTTACTTTATGCAGATGATCTTGTTCTAGGGTATTACGTGAAAACTTTATGCAGATGATCTTGTTCTATGGTATTCCGCCCCTATTTTCTCAGATGATCTGGTACTATGGTATTCCGCCCCTAAGGAAATTGGTATTCCGCCCCTAAGAAAAACGCTCAGAATAAGACGGAAAGTGCCTTAACTTATGCACTAATGGGGTGCGCGATAGACTTACCTCCACGTGGTGCGCCCTGGACAATGTATTTTCTTACGGCAAAAAAGTCTATCACTCGGCATTTTGACTTCTATTTATTATGATTAGCTTTAATAAAGGCTATAAGAAAAAGGCGAATCACAACGTCTTCAGATCCTCCAGTGGAATGCGGGGCGAATCACAATGTCTTCAGATCCTCCAGTGGAATGCTGCCAATAACATCGTCTTCAGATCCTCCAGTGGAATGCTGGAGGGATGTCACAGGACAAAAAGATCCAAGTCAAGAAAATCCTACACCAATGTCTTCAGATCCTCCAGTGGAATGCTGGAGGAATGTAACGGACAAAAAGATCCAAATACAGAAAATCCTACAAACCTCGGACAAGAAGATCCAAGTCCAAATAATCCTACAAACCTATGATGTAGATTTACTATGCCAATTATGTTGCCTGAATACGAAATTCACCAAAGTGGTGATACTTTTGGACTCACAGTCATTAATAAACTCTATTGAAAACAGAGAGACACCCAAAACAGCTGAGATAAAGGAAAGTAGAAAACTCTCTGAGCGGCTGAGAGAGAAAAACAAAACAGTGGTCCTACAATGGATTCCTGGTCACTGTGGCATTAAAGGCAATGAGCTTGCTGACACACTTGCTAAGAATGGGACAACGATTTTGCAATGCATGGACCGGCCGACGTCTTTCCACACAATGAAGGCCTTAATCAGAAGAGAATTCAAAACCTCAAGGTGCAACGAACTTAAAGCTCGAACAAAGGAGAAACAGTGGACAGTGGCACTCTCCGACATACCCGACTGGCCAAGAATCGAAGCCGTTGCTGAGTTTAGACTACGTACCGGACACGATTGTTTGGCAAAACACCTTCACAGATTGGGAGCATACACTCAACCCACATGCCCTCTATGTAACCTACAGGAGGAAATGGAGAAGACCCACCTGATTCGGTGGCTAGCCCTAAAGACAAGGACGGAAAGCCAAAGATACTGGGAAGCAAGAAGACAGCTAATGAATTCCTATTAATTAACTGCCATAATTGTACGCCCCCCCCCCCTCTTGGGAGAAGCTGAAGTCAAAGATTAAGGGCTAATGGTAAATATCATAAAGTCTGCCTTTTGAAATAAATAAATACTTATGAGCTAAACAATTAGAGAACCGGTGCGACAACAATGGAATAGTTATCAACACCGCGAAAACTGCATTCCGAACATTTTCTTTATCCCGTCACAGCATAAATCCACTTCTAAGTTGCCAGGATACTACCCTAGAAAAAACCAATGAGTTTACTTATCTCGGAATGACATTTGTCACAAAGGTAACATGGAAAAGTCACATTGCTAAAGTAGAAGAACAAGTCTCCAGTAGACTGAATGTACTGAAGCGTCTTGCTGGAGCTCTCCAATAGACTGAATGTACTTAAGCGTCTTGCTGGTAGCCAATGAGGCTGTGCGCGCTCAACTCTAGGACCACTTAACAAGATGTTTATTTAGCCAATAATGTTGTATTGCTGTGAAATATTCAGCCAATTGCTGTGAGCCACTCATTACAGCCACAGAGGTGACTCTCATATCAATACGAGAAGGCACACAACCAAGCATTACGACTAATTACTAGAGGAATAGAAGGCACACAACCAAGCATTACGACTAATTACTGGAGGGAAAAATCAAAACTAATTGATGCAATGCTCCTGTTTACAGAAAGGACCACAATATGTTCCCTTATCAAAGAGAGGGGGTTTGATCCTGTATGAGAAGCCACTTCGCATTCCAGTGGATAAATTCATCAGTTAATACTGTACATTCCCATGGATAAGTTCTTCAGCACCCATGAGTAACGCAATCTGGTCTAATTCAGAAAGCCATAGAACTGAAGCAAGCATTACAAATCGACGACAAACGAAAAAAAGCCTCTCTCTCCCCAGAACCCATTAGCAGACACTGATGTAGTGTGTTGCACCCAATTGCGACCCATTAGCAGACATTGATGTAGTGTGTTACACCCAACTCCTCGACGTAGCAGACATTGATGTAGTGTGTCGCACCCAACTGCTCGACGTCGCAGACACTGGTGTAGTGTGTTGCACCCAACTGCTTGACTACTTCAAGAAATCAAACACCCCTACAAAATAAATGCGCTCACTGGCCCTTGAGACAATCAATGTCAACCATCCTACAGATCAATGGCTTCACGTCTTCACTGATGGGTCATACATAGAAAACCAAGCAAACGTTGGTGCAGGTGTCTATTCTGAACTCTTCTCTTTCTAC